TGCTAATTGCCTTTTTTCTGCTATATTTATAGTCAAATATAACTATAATCAAGCATTATCTCTTTTAAACAGCTTTTTAAAATTTTTAACATGTTTGTTAGATACTTATAATTTATTAACAAACTTTGTTCTTTCTTCTTATAAACTACTTAATACATTAAATGCTAATATTTTTGTTGCATATATTTGTTTATTATTATAATCTTTGTTAGAAGATGACTATATGTTTTGTTCTAGTAATATTTTTGTAAAGCTACTTTTGTCTTTTCATTATTTTGCTTCATAAGTTTTTCTTTTTTATTTTTTTTATTTTCTTTTTGGTTTCTAATTTTTGTAATTATGTTTTCATAGTTTTATTATATTATATTTGTTTTTATGCTCTAATTTCTTATTCTATATAGTTGTCTGCTATAGTTGTTTAAGTTACTATAGTTATTACTTTTGTAACTAAGATTTTTTTGGTTTTTTTTTCTTTTTTTTTCTTTTATACTTATATTCTGTTATGGCTTTTTTTATTTATTATTATATTTACTGCTTTAGTTTTTTGTTTTATTTTTTCTATATATATTTCTGTTATGATAATTTCTTTTTTTAATGTTACTTGACCTTTTTTGTTTTTTATATTTTGTATTACTAGTAGGTGTTAACTTGTGTGATTTATTTCTTCTATTTATTTTTTTACACTTAACAGATTTTTTATATCTACTTTAATTATTACTTTGTATATTTTTCTTAATATTACTATTTTTATTAAATTTGTCTTCTATAGTGCTGTTATTACTATATTTCTTATATTGAAGTAATTGTTTTTATTTACTAATTTTTAATCTAATTCTTTGCTGTCTATAAGTTTTAGCTCTGTTTTTGCCTTTTACTTACTAATTTTAGAGTTATTAATTCTTTTAACTTCATCTGTATTATTATTTGGTTATGTTTTGTACTACTTTTCTTAGTTTGTTTACAATCATATACATTCTATAATACTTATATATTTATCTTGTTTATATTTGTATATACTTGTTTATTTGTTTTTTCATATGATTATATGTTTTAAACAGATTTGCAATTTCAGATTTATATTATTTTTTCTAAATTTTATTTTTCAATATTCATTTATCAAGTTTATCATTTTTTTACTAACTATTTAGTTTTTTTTCTTTTATTAGTATATCTATTAAATTTATTTTAAAAACTCTTTCTGTTTTGCTAAATCTTTAAATATTATTTTAATGTAAATTTTAGTTTATTTTTATTAATTTTTGTGTTTTGATATTCAGTAGAAAGAGTTTGTTTTGCAATTTTGTATACTAATATATTGTTAAAAATTAATATTATCTATTGTATTAACTATTATTTGCATTTATATTTATAAATAAACTGTATTAGCAAATGTAACTTGTTAGAATTTTAAGATAATAGAAATAAATAAATAAGTTTTTAATATATAAATAATAATTTTAAATAATTTTAGAATATATTATCTTTAAAAATAAATATAATAGGATGTAGTGACCTAGTGAAGTGGTCAGGTTGTCAACCTTCAAAGTAGTAGGTTGGGTGTTTATCTTATCAATAGAAAAAATTTGGATAATCACCTATGTAATATTTGTATTATGGTAACTATTACTAATGATTAGATTAGAATACCTGTAATAGCAATCATACCAGCATAACTAGCAGGTTATGAGGCATCTGTGTAAGTATGATGTTATACAGAGAAATGCAAACTGACAAATCGAGTAGTGCAAACACTAGATAAGTTCTTGTAGCTATGTAAATCTATTGAAATTAGGTAACAAGATGTCCATTTGAGAAGACCTGAGTAGAGAAGTAGCTAGATCTAACGACCTTACTATAAAGGCTAGCCTAGAGAAATGAATACCAAGGTTATAGTACCTGGTCATAGTAGCCAGATGGGCAAGAACCTCTGGGTTGGTAGTTTTGAGAGTACCACCAACTAGATCATTAAAACAAACTGAAAAAAAAGGATATTGGACTGACCTGATATATTGATGAACTGGTCATAGTCTTACATAGGTTATCTAGATTGGGAGTTTAGTAAAAAGGCAGATGAAAAAGCAAAGGTATACTAAAATACCAGGTTTATGCTGTAAAGTAAATACTGAGGTCTAAATAAACTCTACAAGGACATAGCAGTTTAATGGTTAGCCCTGACTACAAGTATTAGTTCTGCCATAGTAATATCTAGATCAGTTGTAAAAATAGATACAGAAGGCTCTGAAGGGTTTACCTTGAGAATAAATTAGTCCTAAGGTTAAGACAATGATCTGAGTATCTGGGTATAACTCAGTGAGTTAATACAGATTACAGATTCAGAGAGTTTAAAATAAAACATCCAAGCAGGAGTGTTAGATATAGCAATTGATAGGGAACCTTTGGGTAAACTTCTTAAATAGGTAATATAGAAAAGTTACATGTGTAACCAATTGTACTCTCTCCTGTAGTAGTTCATTGAACTATAATACTAATAAGTGATTAATAAAAGTCAAAAGACCAAAGAGATTACTTTAAAAAAAAAAAAAGAATAAATATAATATTTTTATCTAAACATAATTCTATTTAATATATCATATTCTTTAAATATTTTTATTTTGTATTTGTTATAATAATATAAAAAAAAATTTTATTGTATAAGGTAAAAAATGAAAACTAGAATGTATTATTATTTATATAAACTTAAATATATTAAATAGTCTGTATATTTTTTTATATATAAGTAATAATTTTGTAGTTAAATTTATAGTTAATTTTATATATTTATGTTTTAACATATTGCTAATTAAAAAAATTGATTTATAAGTAATATATGATAATGTTAAAATATTTGAATATTTTTAAATAAATATAACTTTTATATAAATATAATTTACAATCTCATCAATAATAATTATATTAATTTTTTTAAGACCAATATATATTAAAATATTATTTAAATCTTTAAAAATAATAATCAAACTTTAATTTTTTTCAAAAATATCTTTAATTTTAATAAGTTTAGTTTACTGATTTTGCTAATAACCATAAAATTTATAATATGATCTTGATAGATATTTGTTTATTCATTTGTTGTAATAGAAATCTATTTAGATTTACAAATAAATTTTTGAATTGAAACTTAAATTTTTTATAAATATTATTAAAAATATTATTTAAAAATTGTTTTTGTATTAGTACATAATAATGCATATTAATTGAATAAACAAACTCTTTAAATTTTTTAGAATTTATAAAAGAAAGAGATGTGCTACCTTTTATAATACTTTATAATAATAATTTATTAGATTTATATATATTAACTAGTAATTGTATAATATTATTATTTAATTTTATAAAAACAATTGATATAGAAGATACAATTAATTTATCTGAAAGAATACTAGATTGTTAATCTTATATAATAATTTTTTTTAGTTTAAAGTAGCAATCTTGTATATATATCTTTATTTAGTAATATATAATTATATTTTTATATATAATAGTCTATTAACAAAATACAACTAATCATATATATAACTTTAATTATTATTTAATTAAAGGTTCTATCTACTAGATACTATATTTGAAACTTACTTCTAGATCCTTTATTTAAACTTTTTAATTTTTAATATTATTTGTATATATATAATATTTATATTACTATTAAGTAACATATTAGATTAAAACTATTTAATTACTATTTATATCAAAATATTATCTTATTAAATATTACAAAGTATTCATAATCTTTTAAATTTACTCTTAATACAAACTTACTAAGTATATACCAAGATTACCTCTTAGATTTTATTTAATTTTAAATATATTCTGTATTTACTAAACTAATATTAATGTTAGAGATATTCAAATTTTAGTAAGTTTATTTCTTTTTTATAACTTTTTTTTATATTTATCATATCATTTACTAGTGTACTTTTTCTTCATTTCTAATATATTTACTGCTTCTCTTACATTAAGCATCAACTTTTCATAATTAAAATCTTTTTTTTAAGAACTTTCTTATATATTAATTTTCTATTTACATGAACTTAATTATAAGACTTTACATATATATTTATATACTTTTATAGATTACAAAGTTTTTATTTTTAATATTACAGATGAAAAATTCATAATAACTCATATATCACAATATATTATACAAATGCTAATCAAAACCAAAATCAAGTATGCATAATAGACTTCACAATAGTAAAACATGCATAATTATATTTTAATGTCAAGACAATCAATATAAGTCAAATATATTCAATTTGAAAAAGATATTATAATTATAATATTGATATTTCAAAGTAATAAGATTCAAATATTAAGAAGACAAATTAGTATAATTGTAATAAAATAAACTAAAAATAAAACTAACAAAACCAAATATTTACCTAGTTTAGATAAAATCTATGATGGTATAATTATGTAGAAACAGAATGATGAAAAAATAAGAAGTAAAGTTAAAATTAAATAAAATTTGTTAGTAAATGTAAAAGAATATAAAAAGTAAAAAAAAGTTTAATAAAATATTCATAATCTAAATGTTTTTAATTAGTAAAAAAAAGATCAAAAATCCATATAATAGTAGTAAATAGTTTATAGTAGTAGTTAGTTAAGATATTACTAAATAGAGAAACTTAAATACAATAAATAAAGATTTATACTCACCAAATCAAATCCACATCTTGAAGCCTTATTTCACTGTTTTATAATATTATACAAAGTCTTGATCATTAAAGCAACAGACTTACTGTTTACTTATCACACTAGCTAGAATTGAACTATTGACCTTGTTTGTAAAAAAGAAATGCTTAGACTACTAGGTTATAAGACCCCAACCCCATCTTGTATAATAATTGGATTTATTTTCATTTATCATTGTTGAAATTGATTAACATTAAGAAGATATGTTCAAAGAAGTTTTTGGATATTTTTTAATATATGAACTCATTATTGCCACAGTACCTAATATGGGTTGATCAGGATTGCAAAAAATGCATTTTGCTTTTGACTTTTTATTAGTTGGAACTGGAGTAAAAGCCTGCCAAAGAGGACCAATTGGATGACAAATGCTTTTTGTTGAAAGTATATAAAGCAAACATTGAATATCTACTGATCCACTACTCATTAAACAGCATGTCCAATCACATTTTCATGACTGAACTGCATTTAGATCTGAACTTGGTAAAGGCCAATTCAACATTATTACAGGTAATTGAAGAGGTTTTTTTGAATATTTATTAGATTGCCAATGAGAGCAATAGATATTTTTCTCTTTAAATAAAAAATAGACCAGTTTAAAATTATCTAATAATTACATCATAAATATTTATCGCTGTAACTTAATATTAATTAATTTCGACTATATTGTCTAACTTTAACGTTAAATGTTAATTTTCCGTTATCCCGTGATTACTTACATATATAATTATAAACGTAATAATTACTTAATATTAAGTAATCGATAAGTCATAAGTAATTATTACGTATAAAATTACTTTGCCAATCTCTGCTAGAGCAGTTAAAATATGGGATCTTTGCCTTAAAATCGTCCACCGACATTTCCGATAGGGATAATTCGGACAAAAACAAACCTCAGTGTCGGTCATGTTGATGTATCAATCATCTTTTATCTTTATTGATTCGATAGTTCATTGAATAAACTCGATTGAGGTTTGTTTATCGTGATTTTTAAGGCAAAAACCCCATATGATAACATATGCCATTATTAACCTGTGTTACTTGTGCCACAGACTAACAGAAAGCTCATGATTATATCAAGGGTCAATATTGTTTATTATACAAGATCAAAAAAATTTAATAATAGATTTTTTATATGAATATACCACATATACAATAGCTTTGATTTATGCATGTAGTATACCTCGCACTCAATGATCATGACTTAGCAGTGATAATTCGTTACAAAGTAGAACTTGGTAGTGTTCTAAAAAAAACTCCGATCTACTAAAGAATTGAGATCGGATTCATTACTTATAAGATTCACCGAATCCGGATCCGAAAATCATCATTTAATCCATTGACTCATTTGACACTTTCAAATAGGAAATGCTTTATCCCATCACTCATTTAAATATCGAATCCGATCAATCTTTATGGTTTCAATCCATATTTAGACCCGATTCGATTTTGCAGTTTGGATGCGAACGGAAACGATTATACTTTCGACAATCTTAGATTCCTATTAATAAAGTTCATAATCGAATACATTTAACGGTTTCGGTAATTAAGGCATCCCGGACAAGACATACATTTGGTCGAGCATGACAAGCATCACTTTTGTATCTTTCAATCCTTCATTCTTCCCTTATATAGATAACTCTTACTAATCTCTCAACTCCTTAAGTTTTTACTTGTATTAAAGGTCGATATAATGATGAATAACGTGCTGTCATGAGTACACTTAAGCGCCTAAAAGTTTCTAACCTGATGATGAAAATAATCATGGGTAAGCATTTAAAGAAACAAATCTTAGATTGTAAAGACTTTTATTTATTTTACTGCGCTTTTCAAATTATTGATCATCCATCATGCAAAAATTTACAAAGTTCTTTTGGTTCCTTATTTATTTTGCAAATTACCACTAAAAAATAATAATATTTCCGAAATTTCTGAAGATTCCCGTTGAAGACTAATTTTCCAAAATTATATTTTTATATTAGATCTTTTTTAGTTGATTGACCAAACAATAAAAGTTTTTTGTTTTTTTAAATAACTTATTTTCAATATTCAAAGTAATTATCAAATTCTACCGACTAAAAAAATTCGAAAATAGTCTTAGACATTTCAATTAACTAGAATGCTATTAAGATACCTTTGCTCAAAGTTCGAAACCACACAGTGATACTAATATAATTTTTTTGGAAAATCAATCATAGATCTACATTTTAGAAGATTCCCGATTTCCAGACTCCCGTGTGGTGTGTGACGCTTGAAATTCCAAATTCAAAGTTGTTGATCACACAAGGGCGAATTCAAGTGCTTTATATAAATGGAAAGTTAATACTTGGATTTAATCATTAGATCCGGATTCATAGGCAGAAGTTTGACTGATTGGCTAATAAATTCAATTCAATTTTACATTATTTATACGGTAAACGAAAAAAACTGTATAGAAGGTTTTATTAGAGCTGTAGGACTCCATAGCCAAAAATAAGATCGTAATGACTTCTCAAAACCTGATAAAATCAACTTATTACTAAGCCAATTTTTTTAAACGGACGAGAAGTAGATCTTATTTTTGACTATGGAGCCCTATAGCTCTACTGAAACCTTTTGTATAGTTTTTTTTTTTTTTACTTTATTATGGTTGGTTTTCGTTTTTTAAAAAGTACTCTAAATTGTAAAATTAAATTGAATTTATTAGCCAATCAGACGAACTTCTGCCTATGAGATCCGGATTTAGTCATTAAATCCGGATGTAGATATAAGATAGCTGTTTTCAGGACATCTTGATCGACCCGATTCGACAAGTTTTGATTCGACATTGATCATTACCGAAATCATAAACTTATCGTATCGATAAATATCCGGTCGTCAATTTTTTGCCAGACGTCCTAGAATTTATAAAAACGGCAGGCATATTATCTTATCTGTTTCAGATATCGTGACAATACTAGATATCATAATTGATTGATTAAATCCGAATCCAAGTATTAACTCTATATAAACGTGATCTGCGCAGCCTAATAAATAAAGAAACCTATCGGTTATAATTCCGGCCAAACTTTACTTAAACTGTGCAGATTCGTCGATATGTTTAACCTTTTAATTTTATAATTCTTAAAATCTTTCAACCCTTACGATCTCAATAAAACAGGTGGATCAGCTCGTAACAGTTTGAAACAAAGCTACAACATACCAGTATAGCTCGATATTAACAAACCATACTAGACTAATTCTCTATAATTCATAATATGGATGACAAAAAATATGATTACGTAGGCATATTTAAATCATAAACATCACCTGATTTAAACCAAACTCTGGTATGATTTTAAATTTTGGCCTGTACCATACAGAATTATGAAATTTAAAAAAAGATCAATATGGTACAACCTATACGGATCTGATAATCTGCGTAATTTAGATTTGAAATTCTATTCATGAGACCTGAATAGTGTTCAACAATATATACAATTCCGATGTTAATTAGCATGTGCAAAATATTGCATTTTTCCAAATTGAAAAATAGTTATCAATATACGTACTGTTTCATTAAAATATGGTTTCTGTCAATCATTTCTCTAACAGGTCGTTTAACCGACATCACACCAGATGACAATTTACTAACAATATATACTTGTAACTATTAAAATGCTAAATCGCCACCCTGTGTGATGTCGGTTAATTGCAAAACGATCACCAGTGAAGCGCTATCATAAAACAGATAATATTTCATGAAATGAAGCATTACCATATTAATACATATATTTGAGAGAACTTAAAATTATATATAAACACCGAGAAATTTTTGCACCGTACATTTCAAATTCATCGAAACTTTTGTAACTCAAAAAAAAAAAAAAATTTTGTTCCACTTCAAAAAAAAGTAAAAATGAAAACCTCAACACTCGTAATTTTGTTCATTTCCTTGGTGCTTATGATTTCTCTTAACGTGATGGCTGAATCAGGAGCTATGAACGAAAAACGCGACTATGGATACAGTAGTCCCAGTTATGGTAGTTCTGGTAACTATAATAGCACCGGTATCTCCACTCTTTATTCATTGAACACTGCCCAGATGGGTGGTATAATTGCTGGTGGTATAGCTTTGTTGGGTAGTTTATTTGGTTTTTAATTTCACCATATTTATGTATCCAATAAACACTGTACGAGAAAAAAAGAACACAATGTAAATATGATGCACCTTCATCATAGTCGATAATATATATAATGAGCTACAACACTTTAAATTTTCAATTTATTATCTCATTAGGCAACACAAATTTAATACCTTGGTTTTCATAACATGAACTTTTGAACAGATCCGGCCGGCCGGCCGGCCGGATTTTTTTTTAAAATTTCATTTATAAGATTATATAAAATTTTATAAAATTTTTTTAAAAATCCGTCCGGTTATAAAACATATAAAGAATTGTTTTTACAAAGTTTCAATGTTTGACCCGGCTGGATTATGAAAACCAAATAATCAATTTTCCATGACCTTAGTTTGAAGATTTCTCCTCTAAATATCACAGATTCGTTCTAGTATTTTAATCGTTCAATAAAATAAGTTTTTTTTTGTTTTCTTCCAGTATAATTAGAAAATATATTATTCCTAAAACACGAAAGACTGAAATTCCAGGACCACAGCCTTTTCACGACTGCTTAATCATGATTCATTTAGCATTGCTTATAGTATTCTCATAAAATAATGTCTCTTGTGATTAATGCCAGCGTATTATTTACCTAATGCTCAGGAGAATAATTATATTGGGGTTTTTACGATTTCCTAAACAACCATATCCCCGACACCTAATTCTTACTAACACTAACCTTCATATTTTCAAAGACCTAGATATAATCCGAAAATCGAACCTAATCAAATAAATCTTGGATTCGAATCATATAGGATAACTTTATTATGATTTGTTGATTAATATTATTCATTATTTGTCTTTAGAGATAGCAATTTTTTTTATGCTTTATAATGATAAGGAGAATTTACACGTAAGGGCCAAAAATGAAAATAACTACAGATAAGAGCCCAAAATAAAGCTTACATATAACGGCCAAAAATAAAATTTTATTATAAATAAGGCCCGTCCGATCTCCGAGCTATGTTAAGCCACATGACTTACATAAAACAATGATAGTTGAATTAAAATAAATCTAGAACAGTAATTGATTTTTTACATGAAAAACTAAATGTACTATTTATAAATCTAGTTAACAAACTTATAATTTATCAAAATAAACAAAATTAAAAAAAAAAATAATAATAATATAGAGACTAATACTAGATATAAATAAAGCTAATTTCAAGTCAATGTGTACATTGTGCATAACAGAAAGATAATAAAAAAAGAACCAAAATAAATAAAGCAAGATAAAGAGAAAAAAGGTAGCTAGTCAAAACAGTAACAATAAGAAAAATCCTTTTAAACTACTAGGAAAAGTTTCTTTACATGATTCTTTAAAGAAAATTTTAACAAACATAATTATACATAATAACAATAGTAGTCAAAAATACAGTTTCTAAGTTTAAATAATTAATTTTTAACTAGTAATAACAAATATAAATATATAGTATAAATAACTTGACAACCCATCTCCATGATGATTCTAAATGATCAATCAATCAAATTTGAGATTGATAATTATTAATTTTGCTTCTTAAAATTTTTTTGAATTTTTTTTTAGTTTATATACTTATATTTAATATAAATACTTTGTTTTTTTATAGAATTATTATATATAATAATAGTTATTATAAAAAAATAGACTTCAAAATATTTTTTATTAAAATTTTATAAAATTTTAAATGTTTATTATATAAAAATAGTATAAAAATTTTTAATATTTTTGTTAATAATATCTTAGTAATTATATATTTAAATTTGATAAAAATTTTTTATTTATATTCTCTAGATCTATAAAATTTAAATAAAAAAAATTTATTAAATTTGATTAAGTGATTACTAAGATATTATTAACAGAAATTAATTTTTTAAATTTTTAAATATTTATTATATTAAAATTTTGAGAATTTCTAATCATCAGTTTAATTGATTTGATTAAATATCAGCTTATGTTATATCTTAAAAACCTACTAAGTAAACAGAATTAGGTATTCTAAGTAAAAATGTTTAGGACTCCTAAAAACCTTATAATAATTAAAATTAGGACCTTATATCTAATCTATATTATATTATATAAAAACAATTCTTATAACTATACTATAACTCTAAATTTTAGTAACTAGTAATAATTATCAGTAATAATATGTTTATAAATTATATGTTAATAGTATAAACTGATATTTAATAAAATCAATCAGACTAATTTTAACAAAATTTTAATTAAAGATCTTAGCAACTATTTAATCAAATTTGATAAAAATTTTTTATTTAAATTCTACAAATTTGTAGAATTCAAATAAAACAAATTTATCAAATTTTATTAAGTATTTATTAAAATACTTTTAATTAAAATTATTTTTAATTTTTTTTTTAATATTAGAGATAAGATTATGTTTTTAATTTTATTGAAATTTAATTAAAGTTTTTATAAAAAAAAGCTTGTTTTTAAATTATATATAAAGAATAAAGACTCAGATATATAATTTGTGATCTAAATTTACAAAAGTGATTAAAACTCATCTAGATTTAAGTTTAGGTAATAATATAAGAAAAATGAATATAATATTTAATCTATTAAATAGTTCAAAGATTAAATTTAGTAATAATTTGTAATATTAAAATAGAAAATAAGAGTAGACTAGAAGAAAAACTATAAGATAAGTTAGTAAAAGATATAGTTTAAGACTGTACAAAGTATAAAATACAATATGAAATCTATATTTGTTTATATATTTGTTAGTTTAAGTGAAGAAAAATCTTAATAGAAAAAAAAGTAACAATATAATAAGGAATAGAAGTATTGTGAATAATAGAAATAAGATTAGTAGAAACTAGACTAAATAGAGTAAAAATAAGAAAAAATATATGTAAAAAGTTGTGTGGTTTAAAACTATTAAGAATATAAATTTCTTTATACAAATCAGGAATAAGATTAGTAAAAATATAAAGAGTTGTTATATTTAAGATGCTGTTAAGAAAATTAAAAATTAAATAATAAATTGTTTAAGCTGAAGAGCAAATAACTCAATAAAATATGAAACTAGATTAGTTACATTGGTGACAAGTAAAAAAATAAGAAGAGTTATATTTATAAAGAATATAAGAAACAAAAAATTTATTTATAAGAATTTTAACTTAAAAGGTTTTTAGAATAAATAAATGAAAGTTGTAAGCAAAATTAAAGATTTTTTGATTATTGTTAATATAAAGTCATATAGCTTTCTAATTGATATCAAATACAATAATAGATCATTATTAAAAATAATATTGAAATGTTTAAAGTATTATAATATAAGCTTAATATATAGTTTAGATAAAGTGTAAAAAAAAAATTTCAATAAGAAATTAGTTGATAAATGGTATATAATCAAGGTTATAAAAATTATTAGTTAAGAATATTAAATAAGATAATATTTGGTAATTATAAGCAAATTGGTTAGTAAGGTTGTTAAATGGATTCTTTTAGTATATAATAACTTTATAAAAAGTAAGCTAAATATTATAGGAATTAATAAAGTTAATAAAAGTTTATCAAAGAAATATAAAGTATAGATATAAGAAAGAATAAATGCTGATTGGCAAATATTATAATATTTAAAAATTACTAATTGTAAGCTAATAAATATATAAACAGATTAGTGTCTAAAAACAGTAATAATTGCTAAGAAAATAGTAAGAATTTTAGTTTTAAAAAAATATGACCAAAATTTAATTTATGCTTAAAATAAGTTAATAGTTGTAAAGTTGTCAACTTGAACCTAATTTATATCCATAGAGCATATAAGAGATATCAAGATTAATGACAAAACCATTAGTATAAAATAAAATAGATAATAAGTTATGATTTAAATTAATAATATTCTAAAGATTATTAGAAAGTTGATATAATTTAAAAATAGAAGATAATTGTTATAGATTAATTATTAGTAAAAAAGAGGATAGAATATGTAAAGAATATTAAAGAGCAACAGATTATGTAATATCAAAAAAGTTTGCATAAAGGTTAAGGGTTTGGTTAAGATTAATATAACAAAGTAGTTTAGTAACTAGGTTAGTAGAAATAAAGATAGTGCATTTGTTGGCAATTGTATTTAAATTAAGATAGCATTTAGTGCATAATATAATAATAGAAAGAAAAATGAGATAAAAATTAAAAAACTATAACTAAAATAAGCAGTGCTAAAGAGTAATAAAAATAAGATTAGTAGGAGTATTGTGCCTTCTGGTCTTATTAATAATTATTTGATTATTAAAAACAATAAATAACCAAGATTTAATATTAGAGAAAAAATAACTAATAGAATAACAAAAATACTTAACAAAAAGTAAATTATAATGATTATATAGAGTATGATGATAAGAATAATTTGTAGTAATATTCTCAAAAATAATAAACCATTGTAATATAACTCTTTTAGAAAGTTTGTTAAGTCTGAATAAGGTGTATTGCTAGTATAATAAATATAAATTATTATAAGTAGTAAGTTGGTTCAAAAAAAAAAGTTTGTAATGTCTAAGTTGTTTTTTAAAAATTAAATATTTTGAATAAGAAAAAAGAAAAAATTCAAGAGAGATGATTTTATTATTTAGAATATGTAGAATGTTATAGATTGGATTAATTGAAAAAATTTAGTCTATGTATTTAATAAGCTATATTATTTTAAAGTTTGTAATTGAATGATTAAGATCATTAATAATTAGATTAGAATGCAAAAAAATATTAGTTGAAGACCAAAGATTATTTTGAAGTTATTAAATTTATATATAGATGAATGTATCTAATAGGTCTAAGTTGTTAAGTTGTTTAAAAATATTAGAAATGTGATATTGTAGTTGAATGTTTTAGATGTATTTAATTTATATATTTGAGAATGTAGAAAAGTACTAAAAGATATTATATAACAGAATTTGGCTTTAAGCTTAACAAAACTAATGTACTAAATAAAGATTTTATTGCAAATAGATTAGTTAATTAC